TGAGGCAACAGAGCGCTGCAAGTGGCATTGCCAGCTTTACGTACGCTGCTGGTGGGCAGCCTGGGCAGTGTGGGCCACCTGACGCGGCCCGAGACCCGCACGCGCTCGGAGACCTTCACGGTTCGGGGCGAGGTGGAGCGAGTGCAGCGCCCTTGCGAGAGGCGGGAGAGAAGCGCAATGTGGGAAAGGAAGGAACTTGGGGTTTCCTTCTGAAGGGTCGGCTTCTGGGTTTCCTTCCCCAAAAAACACATGCGTGTGGGTCAAAATTAAACCACCAGGGGACCACAGGTTTTGGTCCATGTTGCCACTTACCAGGGCGCCATTTTGGGTACCGATTTTTGACCCACAGCCACATGAAGGAACTGGTTTGCTGGGGATGGCTTCCTTGTCTGAGGCCGGTGACGCGCAGCAAGTTCACCGAGCAGCTGCTGCAACAACTACAGGCGCCCGAGCTCTTTGGAGAGGCTGCGGCGGCCGGAGCATCGCCGCAGGTGCTGGTTTTGGCACACTGCGACGTGCAGGCGCACAGGGCGGCGGCGAGCAGGTTGTTTCTTTGGGTCTGGAACTGGACCTTGTGTGATATCTTTTGCGTCATACTTTTATTGATCCACGGGACAAATAAGATTGTAACACCCGTGTGTGTGTGTGTGTGTGAGTATGTGTGTCTCCGTGTGTGCATAAGTCTGTGTGTCTGCGTGTCTGAGTGTCTGTGTCCATGGATGAGCTGAAATAGTAACTATGGGTTCACATTCGATTTGATGTCGATTTTCATACATACTTGGGGCACGGGTTTGCTTTGCTTGCAATGCTTGCAAAGCATATTTTATTACAAACTCAAAGATTAGAGTTGGAAGGATGCTTCAAATTCGACTTCAACCCCTCTCCCCCCCCAGAAGGCATGAGAGCAACTGACACATTAAAGTTCAACCTACTTTGCAAGCGCCATACGCTGGCGTTTTGGCTTTGAACCCACGCCGTCAGAAAACGCGAAGGGCGTGTCGGGACTGAGTAAAGTACCTTTGGAGCCTTTCCCGGAGCAATGCCGACCTGTGTTTGGCTGCAGTGCATCTATAGTGGTTTTGCAAAATGCTGCAGACCCCATTCCAACCCCGGGGAAGAGTCTGCGAATATGCCTTCAACACAAGGGTCAGCGCTGCCAAGCCTGGTCAGAGACAAAGAAATACAGATGCAACCCATGCAAGCCACAGGCAGTTCCCTGAGCGCTCGAAGCAAGCGCAGCAGCACTCTGCAGGGCTTGCCAGTCTTCAAGGATTTCCGTACTGCCAGACACGCAGTCCACTTAAGAGCTCTTCAAGCTTAAAGCCAAATTCTGGTGCAAACTTGCCCGGACGCGGCAATGGAATGTGGTATTCAAATCCGCATCTCACCTTTGAGATTCCTCGAACCGTCCGCCTCTCCGGTTCAGCCTCACTCTCCCAAGCCCAACTCTGCGCCCAAGCGAAGCCCCGAAGACCCTGTCGTCGGGTTTTTCGGTCCACGGCCCAAGGTGCTCCCGCGGCTGCGCGCCGGGCTGCGGCATTTGGACCTCCGGGGCGCCCAGCTCTCGCTGCCGGCGGCCGCGGAGCAGACCTGGCAGCCGCTCCGCCACTGCGCCCAGCTGGAGGCGGGATCGAGCCACGAAAAACGCGGAGGTCGCGGGCGGTTTTTTTGGGTGCGTTTTTTTTGTCGGCGTGCAAGTGTTTTTGGGGCGGGGGTGTCCAGGAAACCACAAGGAAACCAGGCAACTGAAACCCCTTTGACACAGATATAGTTGTTTCCCGGATGGTAGATGTTGGGTTGGTCATAACTTGGGCCGTGCTCTGAACCAATATCCAACATATGAAGATATGGATGACCTGAAATTTTGGATTACGGTGGTTTGTCTACTTCCTCGTCCGGGTGGGTTCCGGATGGTGCAGGTGCATGCGGGGCCTTTTGTGCCCAGGTGTTGAGCCTCGCAAGCAACACCGAGCTGGGCGCCCGAGCGCTGCGATCCTGCCTCGAGTCGCTTCCATCGCAGCTCAAGGCCGGAGCTGGCGACTGGGGCGACTGGGGCGACCGACCGCTGGGAGCTCTTGCCAGCGGGAGCTCATGTCAATGTGGAACTGCTTGCGCATGATTCCAACAGGGTGTCAGGATGGGGCTTCCAAGTCACGAGACGAGTTCTCCAGCTTCTCCGCGCGAGGTCTTGGACCTCAGTGACACCCAGGCCGATGAGGCCGTACTTCAGGCGGTGTTCACCCAGCAGAGCTTGACGCACCTGCGGATGTGCCGAAATCCCGCAATGGACAACCACCTGCTGGAGAGAGTGCTGCTTCGATTGCCGAATTTGGAGGCAGGAGAATCTGAATGCAATTCCAAGACCCCCCAACAGGCAGAAATCATATTCGTGAGGACACAGCCTGCGTGTTTAAATGTATTTTAACCCTGTATTTCTGTAGTTTTGTTCGCGAAACGAAGCAAGCTTGAAGTCATTTTCGATTCCAACCAGTGGCTGCATACCACTCAAACTACCTCAGCCGCGGAAGCCTTTTGCAAGGTCCTGAGAAAGTAGGCTGCAGGTGTTTTCTCGCATGTGTTTTTTTAAGCGACCTTGAGATCAAAGGAACGTCCAGCATCGAGGGAGTCCTCCCAAAGTTTGGGTGTCCGATCTTGTTGGGGCGCTAGTCTGACTTGCCGAAGTCCGAAGAAACCTGCTTTTTGACTTCATGTTGACCCCCCATTAAAAACCCCCAGTTTACTAAATAGGGGAATGTCCCTGTGTGTAGTGAAGAATCATCACTGTTGGAGGGGGTGTTCCCCCCTAATATAGTAAACTGGATTTTGATTCATAGGGGGTTCACATTGGCTTGACTTGGGTATGGGTCAAAACCAAACCACCAGGATATGGACCGCAGGTTTTAGTCCATTTTCCATTTACCAGGGTTCCATGTTGGGGTTGCCCTATTCTTGACCCACAGCCACTTCTTGGTCTTCAGAGTCTTCAGGTGCTGGATGTCTCCGGCTGCCGCGGGCTCAGTCTGCCCTTCCAGCCGTCCACGTCCAACTCCGCGCTGCGGCTCCTCTGCGTGGCCTACACGGCCCTGCAGCCGGAGCCGCTGCGCCGCGCCTTGCTGCCCGTGGCGCCCCAGGCGGCAGCACGGCCCAAGCCCAGCGGTGCAGATTTGGCCATGGGTCAAAAGCCAAATCGTACCCCCAGTGAACATCCCAATCCAACCACTAAAAGATGTTCTAAAATGGATGGTGAATTCACCTACCCCAACATGGGATCCCATTGGTTTTGACCCACAGCCATTTTGTTTTTCTCTCTGTGTATGTATGTCTCCGAGTGGGTCATTGGATTTTGCTAAGTTCAAGGGGAGTTGTTTCATTTCCTGCCACTCAAGTGACCATTCCCTGCATTGAGAACGGGCCTGGTTGGCCGAAGGTTTGACGTGGGGCAGAGTGTTCCCAAAGGGAAGTCGCACACTTGAAGACTTGAAGAGGCCCAGTATTATTATGATTATTATCATTATTATTATCACTGTTGTTGTTGTTGTTGTTGTTGTTGTTGTTGTTGTTGTTGTTGTTGTTGTTGTTGTTGTTGTTGTTGTTGTTGTTGTTATTATGTATTGTGTATTATTATTATTATTATTATTGTTATTATTACTATTTTTATTATTATTATTGATTATTTATTATTATTATTATTAGTAGTAGTATTCTTATTTATTATTATTTTTTATTATTTATAATTATTATTATTGGTATTATTATTATTGTTTATTATTATTATTATTACTATTATTTATTATTATTATTATTATTATTATTATTATTATTATTATTATTATTATTTATTATTATTATTATTATTATTATTATTATTATTATTATTATTAGTATTATTATTATTACTATTATTATTTATTATTATTATGATTATTATTATTATCATTATCATTATCATTATTATTATTATTATTTATTATTATCATCATCATCATCATCATTATTATTATTGTGGAGCTGCAAAAGGATTATTCTTCTTCCGACCGCATACGTGTTCAAGTCAACTGAACACTGCGTAGAGGTACAAAAGGATTCCACTGATGTCGATTGCGCTATTCCTTGGTAGTGATTAGATGACTCCGGAGGAATCCTATGCGGCTTTCTGCTTCGGTTGCCCAAATTGAGGTTCCGCCCTTTTGCCAGCACAAGAACCATCAAATTGCATGTGCTAAGTAAGGAATTCAAACGGATGCGTTGAAGGCCTTTTGTGGATTCGCCGACTCAAACTTGAAAGGCGCATTTGACATTGCAGTCTAGCATATGATTATTAAAAAGGGAAAACCCAGCAAATGGTTGTGGCGAGCCCCGCATTGTGACTGTAGTTGGGATCGGCGGCATTTTTGTTGTCTTAGTGTTGGTTTAGTATTGCCTAGTTCTATCCTGGAGAAACATTTCATGAATAGTTAGGGCGAAGTGATTAGCTGCAGGAGTTTGTGTGAAGTCAGTCCAAGCAAACACCACCTCAGCTCGCACCCTTTGGGGTCCACACCAGTCAAGCCACACTTGGAGTCTTCCAAGACCCGATCTGCCAATCACTTGCTGCGAGCCTTAATGAGAGACCCGAATCTGAGGAAGTTGTGCCCTGCCTCATCGATATCTTTCAAGGTTATCAGCAAGTGCCGCCAGTGTTGGTCTGAGACCGTAATTCAAGTTGGGGATATTTCGGGCCTGAGCAAGGCTGCAGAAATATGCTGAGGCGATTTGCAGGCTCTTTTTGTTGACGTGATGCCTGGTTGAAATTCTAAAGCACAGTTCTTAGAGACACAATCATTGTGTTATTCCCCAGCCTTGCAGTCGCAGGGGTAGCTCATGGGAGGAGCAATGAGCAACTGCAAAGTCAGTGGGAAGCGTCTTTGCGAAAATGCCTCCGCTGCAGCATCCGCTGAAATTCCAAGCAGCAAGGAGGCGCCACGGCGACCGTGGCTTGATTTCACGACTTGAATTCCCAGGAGATGGCGCCTTGTTGCTCTCGGAGTTGGAGGCTGTGCTTGCCCTTCTCATGGAGGCGATGCGGATCAGCTGTTCGGAGCCATCTTAAAACCCCAGCAACAGGCGTTGACCTTGCAATACCGCTCTCTTGCAGGCATCACAGCACACGGCCAGGCGCTCAGAGCCGGGCTGGCGGATGCGGGCCGGAGGCATTCGTGCAGAGCAACTCAACAGTTGACCGACTGAGGTGGAGCATCTTTTGCAAGTGGTGCCGCTCCTGCCATGTTGGTCTGGCAGCACAGCTTTGCGTGTCTCAAGTTTGACATACAGCGGCTGCATGTTGTCATCTTTTCCTGAAGAGACAGACAGGGGAATGTTTGATTCTGTGCACTCTCGCAAACATGCTGAGGACATCTTCCTTGCCGGCCCAGACAGACGTCGAGGATGGTGGATCAGCCAAAGCGCCATGTTCCGGCGGCCGCCCGCAAAAACCCAACTTGCGACTCTCACAAAAAAGAGGGATGTATCAAAACCGAACTGTTTAGGAGGCCCGAAGATCCTTAAGGGGCTGCCAACCAAAGCGATTGCCAGGAATGTCCAACCACGGACCCCACTTCCACTTCAGTATCACGGAAAGGGTAAAATCCAAAGGAGGATATTTTGTTTGCTTTTTTTCTTCTTCTTCTGCTTCTATGTCCTTTTCCAATCTGCATCTCCGATGTCAGACATGTCTCCATTGGACCAAGTGCCAAAATTTGACCCGAACCTTCCCAGGAGCTTGCAGCCTTCTGGGGGCAGCGCCTTCTAGGCCACGAGGCTCCTGGAATTCATTTGGGTGTTGGGTGCGCGAATCATACGTCGCACCTTAAGGCCTCAACCAGGGGGGTGGTAGGGCATTAGGGGGTGATGATAAGGATGTGTTGTGGAAGCTCGTTGACGCTTTGGCCAGTGGAAACCAACGAGTCAACTCAGTTGGTGTCCCTCAACAGAATATTGGGGGCACCTGGAAGCTTGACACATCAACTCCGGCACTGATCGCTTCACGACAGGCAAGTTTGGATTTTGTGTACGGCTGTGCAGGTTTTGGTAGCGGCATGCAAGCTGCTTGCGCAGGCGACAGCGCTTCCACATCCGTTGCAAGGCGGAAGAGGCTTGCTCAGCATGGCTAGGGCAACGGAGCGAGCAATGAACTTGCTGCTTTCCAATTCTACAATCCATCCGAGGGCTCGATAAAGTGAACTCCGCCTGTGGTGAATGGCAGCCTTTTCGATGCTTGACCTTGAAGTGGCCCGGCCAGTCTTGCTAGCTGTTTCGCGGCTCGGACCCGAGCCAGTTGACTTTTACCACCATTTTGAAAAGCCCAACTGGAATCGGGCCCCTAAAGTGGCAACTTGTTTTTTGGTTTCCCTTGCAAAATGCAAATGAAAAAGGGCTTGTCCATTTTGAGAAACTCTCAGTCCAGTCAGCTCGTCCCGGAGGAGGCTGGCAGTCGGTGCCAGTTCTGCTGCCGCCAGAGAGCAGGGAAGCCATCTTGGCGCCTTGGCGGCATGGCTTTGTCAGGTTTTGCAGAGGGGGCTTGGAAAGCACGGCAGTCCCAGCAGACGATGTTTTTTTTTAACCAGTGTTGATGCTTGAATCTTGTCCACAGAGGCCCTCCAAACATGGGCGCTACAATGAATGCAATCTTTCCATCGCTTCACCGAGAGCAACGGTTCCGGTGCGTATCGGCACCATCAATTGCGTTCCTGGAGTGCGAGGCGGCCTGGGCATCTTCGTGCGGAGCTCGGAGTTCCCCAAAACCAGCTCCGCAGAATGTCCTTTGGGCGATCTCAAGGTTGGGGAAGATCTCTGGGCAGAATGTGGTCTCAGCTGGCAGCTTAGATGTGGACGCCATGGCATGTAGACCACAAGGATTCCAACATTTATGCAGGTGGCAGTCCCGCTAGCAGCAACTTCGCCAGGCAAGCGGAGAAGCAGAGAATCAGAGATTTGCTTTGCGGCTGATTTCCGAAATTGTCGAAAGCTCAGCTGAAGACACTCGCCAGGTCTGGCAGCTGGACAGCCTGTGGGATGGCAGGGAGCCACAAGCCGCGCGGAGGGGACTGAAGGGAACTAGGGGCTTCGGCCGTATGGCGACTTCCAAATGGCTGTGGGTCAAAAATAGGGCAACCCCAACATGGAACCCTGGTAAATGGAAGCCTGGACTGAAACCTGCGGTCCATATGGTGGTTTAGTTTGGACCCATGCAGTGGATCGAGTCATGACAGGTTTCCTCTTGGATGCAGGGGCCCACTGGCCCGGGCTCCCAGACTTGCACTGAGTTCCGAGAGTAGGGAAACATTTGGTGGGGAAATGTACTGCAAATTTGGTAATGTGGTTCAAAAAAGGGAAATGTAGTTAGAGTCACACTATCTCCTTTTGAACTGAGGCCGACATGGAGCAGGCCTGGAGATTTCAGCGGGCCATCGGATGAATCGGATGGGAGCCGCGCTTTGCCAGGACCTGAGCAGACAGATCTTGGAGATGGCGCCCTTGGCACAAGCACCGCGCTATGTCTTGGAGAGGAGGGGTCAGATCTGCGCTTTTGATCCATGCGAGTTCTGGCTGGGTTTGTCTCAAATAGGCAGAGCCCCAAAATGGCGGATTCCCTATGCAAAATTTCCACTTCGAACCATCCCCACCCAGATTTGCGTTCGTAGTCCGGCGCCGTAGTCTTCCTCTAGACTCGTCCGGCGAGCTGGAGCCCGCCGTAGTCTTCCTCGTGGTCTTGTATTTGCCTAGCTCTTGCCCCTACACTGAAACTCAGACCCAGACCTTCGCGTCTCTGGCCCGACCCAGACCCAGACCCAGAGATAGCTGAATGGCTCTGGCATCCCACACAGGCAACCAGACCCGTGCCTCCACGTATCAGACACCCAGACCTCCGTTTCTGATTGGTTCTGGCATGGCCTACAGACCCTCAGACCCAGACCTCCACATATCTGGCCCCGCGCAGAGACAGACCGGACCTGTGAGTATCCCAGATTCCCTGGCACATTTGTACCTGATTGGCTATCCGATGGGTTCTGGTGCATCTGTATCTGACTGTGGCATTTGTCCTCAGAATTTTTCTGGAGCTGCTGGCTTTCAGTGCGTTCGAAAAATCTCACAACCCCTTCTGCTGGGTGGGGAAAAGCCACACCCAACTGGCTTCCAGGCTGCTGCGTCTTCCTTCCTGGACGCCTTCTGCGGCCTTCTTTGAGCTGGCAGGCCGGAGGGCTGGCGGGTTGAGCTGAAGCTTGCCAGCGTTGCATGTCGTGCGGCTGCCAAAAGCGGGTGCAACTCGTGGATCTCTTGAGGACTTGTGACTTGGTACCTCGTGATGAGAGCCGCCCCATCCGAGGCGTGTCCCTGGACTCCAGCGAGTTGCAGCAGTGGGGGGAGACGGCGGGCAGATGGCGAAGCCTTCAGCACAAAGACCTGGCCGGGGCAGAGCTGGTCCTGGTGCTTGGCAGGACGCGACTTCCGAACTCAGCAAGTGGAGCGCACACAAGCACCCATACACCTACACCCTCAGATTCAACTTGCATGCACTTTGCCAGGAGCTCCAGCTCCAAGCTGCCAGGGTTAGTGCTGTGGAACGAAGCTTCCGGGATGAGCAAAGACATGGTTCACATCCTGAGAAGGCGGCTTTGTGCTACTCTCCGGGCCCGTGCAGTTCCAGATCGTGCCGTGGCTGCAGGGTGTCAAGTCAAGAAAAAGAGTGGGACGGGCCTAGTTCAAATCCCACCTGCACGCCATGTCTCAATTTCGCCAGCAACCTTCCAAACCTCAACCAGATTTCCAATAAGTTTGCATACCGTGGATGGAAAAAACAATTTCTGCACCAGTTGGGGATGGAGAAACAGCCTGGTAGACCTATGACTCTCCAGGGTACAGACACTGTCCCATCCAACAGCAGAAATATCCAAGAGAGGCCCCTTCCAAAACTTTCTAGAAGCTTGGGGGGCTTGAAAAATCCCAGAGAGGCCCCTTTCGAAGCTTTATGGATAGAAGTTGATAGAAGGCTGCTCAGGTTGGGACGTGAACCATCCGATCGCTCCGAGCCAAAGACGTCCTCCAGGCGTCCGGCAGCTCCACGAGCTGGGCGCGGCGGCCTCGCCGCCGCTGCACCGCGCGGGGCTTGTGGCGCTGCTACGGCAGCAGGCGCAGCGCACCCCGCAGGCCACGGCGCTGCATGCGCCGAGGCGGGGACGTGGGACCCGTAGGTGTCCTTTTTGGTTGGTTTGCTTGAAACATAGAGGGCCCTGGTTTGGATGGGGTTTATTCCATTTACCATCTACTTTGCCAAAAGGCCACCTGTGGTGGGGCCATCGCGTGGGACCAGAACGAGCGATGCGAATGGGAGTGGGAGCTGCCGAATTTACGTGCTTTACGGATACCAAGAAAAATCACCCCTCAGCTATGGCACACCAAAATGGATGTGAAATGAAACCGTACGTAGAAATGATTGAGAAATCAATCACCAAGAAATAACAACGAGGATACTATCACGGGTGCAAATGTCCTTTTTCGAGGGCACCTTTTTTTGGATGGCTTCAAAAGGAAGCCAAAAGAAACACCCACCAGTTTGGGGATCCAAAGGAAAACCCACCATGTGTGGGATCCCCGAAGACAAAAAGAAGAGGATCAACAGCCAGGTGCCGCCTGAGCTACTCGCAGCTCTTGAGCTGCGCCGCTACGACCGCGGAGAGGCGCGCTGAGATGCCATGTGTGTCTTTGCAAGGCAGCCCATTTTTTGTCACCGAAAGGGAAACGAAAAGGAACCCCGAAGCCATGAACGCCATGTGTCTTTCGTTGACACACAATTAATGACTAGTTAGCCAACTTTCACTTGGTTTTGCGGGGATGGTCCGCCTGTCTATGGGGAATCGAGTGACAAGGCGTGTCAATCGAGAATTTGTCATGGCACCAAAATTCAGCTTTGTTTGGCGAGCACCCAATTGAGTGCCATACTTAGGCTCCGCGCCTGCTGTGCGCCAGTGACTGTCGGCGTGCTGGCGGAGCGTTCTCCAGCCGCGGTGGTAGGCCTTCTAGGAAGCTTGCTGCTTGGCTTGCAGATGTTGCGACTGAGAGACAGACCCAACACAAACCTGGCTGTTTGAGGCTGGCTGGCTCTGCCTACTGTCCACTCATCCCATCTCACCCAGTGGAGCGCCTTGTGGGGAGCTCAGTTCAGATTCTGTACTAGGCTTTCATTGTACATGCTGCTACGCCTGGTAAACGCATGTAGCGTACAAGCAAACTCATGGTCATGCGGAGACATGGCATGGCAGCAAGTTTTGTTCCGCCTCCTTCAAGCCGAGGCAACGATGCTGTCTATAGCAGCACTTTCTGCTGTTCTCTTTCACCCGGAGTTGCAGATTTTGGCTGAAACACTTTGCAAGGACATCCCTCCAGCATCCCGACTGCAAAATACAATACTCGAGTTCACACCAGTGAGCATGGGCATGGGAAAAGGCCAGGAGTGCTGAGTGAGGGGTGTTGAGATATTAAGCCGATGATCCCATGGTCTTGGTGTCGTGAGCCCGTAAGGTATGCATTCGCCTGGATTCATCCACGTGCAGGAGATTCCCTTTGCTCAAATGTCAATGACGCCTAGCATGGCCAGTGGATTCATAGCCATATGAGCAACCTGACGGAAATCATGCTGCAGCTGCATCAGACTTTTTAAATCAGATATGCTGCAAGCCAAGACGACGAGATCCAGGAGGTCTAAACCACTCCATAAGATGCAGCAGTTGCATTCGCCGTTGGTGCAGGACCATGCGTGCGGCAACAGAGTTGCCACTCTTCTCACGGGACGGCCCAGCTGGGGAAGCAATGCATGTGGCTCGACTTATTGATCCCATTGCCCCAGCTCAGCTGCGAAGCATACGCCCAGGTACTTTTCACATCAGGCTCTACCGGCACGCCAAAGGCAGTGCGAGCTTCGGAGCAGGCTGTGGGGGGCATAGAGCTAAATGTTTCAGTTGCAGTATGTTGTGATTTGCGACATACAGGAAGGACAAAATCACTGCCACTGTGACAGACAGGCACAAGCAGCAGACACAGACAGGGACAGACAGACAGGACAAACACAGACAAACACAGATAGACGCAGACAGACACATACACACAGACCCACACCACAGAGACACGGTGACAGAACAAACAGAGACAAAAACCAGACACAACACGCATTCGGAGAAGCGCGGATTGCGACCTGTAGGCTGCTCACACATCCAAGTGCCCGTGCACGCGCACATGCACGCAAGCGTCAAGTCCTTCGGAGCAATTGAGTTTGCTAGCAGAAAGCCAGGATTGACCTGTATGTGCAACAAGCGCTGACACTGCCAAGGTCATGACACATCTCCTGCATGTTGTTCGGAATCATCAATTGCGGCCCACAGATGCACGATTCTCAGTAAACTTGGGTTTTGATTACGACTCAGGTCATGCCTGGAGTTTTTTTTCCCCCCGCTCGAGGTGGGTCTGCAGCACACGAGCCTCGCCTGGGTGGCCGCGGCCCCGGAGCTGTGGGCGCCGCTGCTGGTGGGCGCGCGGCTGGTGCTGCCGCCAGGAAGCCTCCCGTGGCCTCACCTGGGGGTGGGTGGGGTGGGGGGGGGGGTGGGGGGAGTCAGGGGGGGGGGTCAACCCTACGACAAGCGGCTTTTCATGAGTTGAGCCGGTGAAAAATACAAGAACAGACACCTATTCACCAAAAATGAGGTGCCTAAAATGGTGAGAACAAGGGGCCATTTTTTGAGGGGGTCTCAAAATTGTGGACCTGCTTTTGGTTGAAGGAGCCAACTGTGGGACGATAAATCAGAAGATGCTTTCTTGAACCAACTATAAATTGGAGGCCTCCCGAGCAACTGCCCGGGCTTCCTTGTCAAAAGGAGTGCGGAGCATGCCCTTCGGATTTTCCATTTTCGCGGCGTGGCTGGCATATGAGAGGGCGACAGGCAATACTTCCGCTCGAACAGTTCAAAACATCCAGCAACCAGCGCTTTGCTCCACAGCTGTCTGGCGTTGACACTGTGCAAGAGAAAGCGGCAGGAGCCAAAGACTTGGAGACCCTGGCGGCGGCCCCAACTGCCCGATTGGCGAAGCCTTCCGCCATTGGCTGTCCCAGCTACATGGCCATGGGTCAAAAGCCCGTACCCCCAGTGAACATCCCAACAAACTAAAATGGGTGGTGAATTCACCTGCCCCAAAATGGTACCATTGGTTTTGACCCACGGCCACATGTCTGCTGCGGGCAGCGCTTGGCCTTGATGTTTGTTTGGTTCCTGTGCATGTGGCAATGGGCACCTACAGGCCAAATACGGCCAGAGATGCACGTTGCAGCAATATGTTCCCTCAGTCCTTCAGGCGGGCGTAACATGAGTTGCTCAGAGTTTGCATGTCTCATCGTCTTGCTTCGGAGGTCCATTTGTGCAGATCTGTGCCAGGCGATGCTTCATGCCAACCTCATGCCCATCTCGAATGCCTGCCGGCAGCTGGTACTGACAGGCTGGCGGAGAATTGTGAAGCCAGAAAAAGAGACATTTCTTCCATGCTCAACAGGGTCATCAGCCGTGTCCTAGTTCCTAGTACAGGGATCCATGACCATTACCAAGGAATTCGGACCATGGCACACTAAACGCAGACCGCCACATCGTGAAGGCTGCACATTTCAATTCGTGAGGGAGAATGAACATTTTGTGCTCCTTCGACACCTTTCTGGCTTTCTGCCAACGCAACACAGGACTTTTGCAAGTCAAATCTAAACAAGGGGTGGGGATGTCTTAGACTACCCCTCCAAATTGCACACTATTGTAAGTCGGTGCGTCGGTGTCCAATTTTCCGTGCCATGCAGGGTACTGATTGAGGGAGTCTTCGCGGCTGGCGTCCTGGTGTATACGTAACTTTGATCGTTACTGAAGGCGAAACTCATGCGGGCGAGCAAAAGGCAGAAGGTCTTCCTTTTTGCTGGAACAGAAAACGGCGCGTAAAGGACTGGGGGGTTGTTGGGGGGTGCTGACCTCGTTCGAGACTTCACTCGGACCCCTATTCAAATATGTTTTGGTTGTGCTGCTTCTTTAGTCTCTACATGCCATGCGGCGTCCCATGGGGATTTGTTGCTTCGGGTGCCCGCTTGGTGTTTTTTTCTCCCAACATCGACCTCTTGACATGCTGCGTGCCATGCGGCTTTAATTCTCTGACTTCCTGAATGCGGTGCGTCCCATGCGCATTTGCTTGCGTAGCTTGTCGAGCACTGACTTGTGCGGCTGGGTGTAACTAGCCACGGACATTGGGGAAGCCAAGGAGCCAGGGAGCCAGGGATGCTTGAAGCCCATAAAAAAAAAAAGATGCATTCCCAACTCTTCCCAGATCCCCGGAGAAGTCGTCAGAGAACCCTTCGCCCATGAGACGGAATCACCGCCTCTGCTTTTGGCTCCGGGAGGTGAGCCGCTGGCCACGGAGCTGTGCCGCCGCGTGCAGCGGCATGGCCTGCAGCTGCGGAACCACTACGGGCAGACGGAGGCCCGGAGCTTCCGCGGAGCGCGGAGCGTGCGAGCACGCAAACGCAGCCTGCTGCGGGTGTTGATGTGTTCAAAGGCTTTCTTGTTCATATTTGGTTTGAGGTTCATTCATAGTTAAATTTGTTTAAGATGGTGTAGTAGGCCAATGATTGCAGTGATAAATGGACGTAGGTCAGGTCAGTTCCAAGAGTTCCTGAGGTGCCCGCTTTTAGTGGCTCAGCCAGGAAAAAAGGCTAGCATGAGAATCGCCCGTGCAGGCGACCGTAAGCGCTGGTTTCCTTGGGACCTTGGAGGTTCCGAGGCCTCCCCGACCGCTGAATGCAGTCCATCTTGTGATTTAGTCGAAGCGCAACCATGTGTAGGCAATTGACAAGCGGCAGTCGGTGGACGCCTGTGGATTCCACTCCACATCCAACCCCCATCTTCACCAGCCCATTGCCCTTCACCAATGTGCTTTGTGTGGGATACAGCTTGTAGACACGACGCGTCGAAACCATTGACTCCTTTGAGTCTTGAAGATAGCCAACATCAGGCATGAGGCTCGGTCAAAAGCACCAATAGTCTATGGATTTGGACGGAACATGGGGGACTAAAAACTAGGGGGACTCCCTGATTCTCCCAATCGAAGCAAGTAATTTTGATGGCTCGTTTTGTTGCCAACCAATTGAACTTCGGGCCGCTTCACGCCATTCGCAGGCGGCTGACACCACCACGGTGCACGTCTTCCGCGGGCTGCCTGTGACCTCGGTGCCCCTTGGCCGGGCGGCCACACAGCGGCAGGCGCGAGACGTCGATTTGGGTACGGGTCAAAATTGAACCAGGAAAGGGACCGCAGGTTTTAGTCCAGGGTCCCATTTTCCAGGGTTCCCCATTTTGGGGTTCAGTTGGACCTTTGGTATAGCCAACTACAGCTCACAGGCCTCCCAAGCTTGCGGCGGACCGATGTCTTTATTTCTATTGCCGAAAGGTTGAGGCGTCCCGTAAAGGTTTGTGCAATAGGCACATGAATATAGTCCAAGCAGGAGTGAAAGCGCAACTGTGCGCAAGCTCATGGAAGCGTGCTGGGGAGATGTTCAAAGCTCAACGAGGTGGCTGGGGATTGATTTTTAGGTGCTGGCAATTGTGTTGAGTTGGACTCTGTTGAAGACGCTCGTGCAAGTGCTCGGGCATCTGGGAGCTTGTTGTTGAGTTATCGGCTTATGTTGCCGCTGCAGATGGATTCCCAACGCAGAACTGGACGTGTGAGCGAAGTGTTTGCACCTTGAGTCATTTGGGGACTATGCTGATGCAAGTCGTTTTTCTTTCCAGCAGGTGAGGGGCAGAAACACGTTCCTGAGATCTAAAAGCTAAGTGGCAAGTGTTACTGTGCGGGATGGAGCCGTGCAGCATGAATGCACACCTTTGAATACTGCCCCCCACCTGTCCAATCCTGCAGGCTCTCAGACTGATTTCAAGGCCCGGATGCGACCCGACTCAAGGGATCCTCTCTCGGCGGTCAGGTTTGGCTGCGGGCGCAAGTCACGGGTGAGAGTGTTTGCGGTGTAGGCGAGCCAGGCGGGAGGGAGAGGAGGGAGGGAGGGAGGGCGGTGCCAAGGCACTGGCTCTTGACAGCCTGAGGGAAGGAACAAAGACAAAGGACCCCACACACCCCGTGTCCGGGAAGATGGCCAAAACCGGCTGTCACCTGGATGCTGAATTTTGAGCCAAATCCTTCTTGCTCGACTTTGTCGTTGCACTCTCCACATGCTCCGCGGCTGCGGAAGTCGTTATACGCCAGACTTTGCCAGGCGAGCTGATGGTCGGCGGCCCAGGGCTGCATCTTTCACGAGAGCTTGAGGCCTGTGCTGTGGGGTGTTGGAACAAAAGCGGAGCTTGAGGTTTCGAATGAGACAAGTGATGAGCGGTTTTTGCATGCAGACTCTCATGGCGAGGTAGCTAAACTTGCAATGCAAGTTTCGAGAGGTCCATAGCCAGACGAGCTTTGCAAGATGCATTCGCTGCATTCGGGCAGCTCCAGGAGTCCCCTTTGGGTGCCGGGGCACAGCTGCCCAGTGGCGACCTTGCGCGCTGGGCTGCAGCCCCAGCTCTCGAGTCGTGTCGTGAGAGCGGCGCCTGGCACCATGGGGGTCCTTCAAACACCAACCCAAGGCAACATGTCACTGGACGGGTCACGAACCTTCCCACACGACCCTCAACTGGCAAAGAAGGCATACTGGCTTCACTAAAAAGAAACCCAACCACAAGTTGACAAGCCATGGCAAATTCAAGAACGCATCCTGAGATTGGACATATGCAGTGATTGCTTGATTTTGGTACGGCGTGCGACGCGCGAGAGTTCGCTCAGGTGCCGTTGGGCGCTTCTCTGGAGCTCATGTGCTTGGGCCGGAAGGACCGTCAGGCAGAGCTTGCCGACGCACCGGGCTCGAGCGGCCGGCGAGTGGGGACAGGTGCTGAATTATTTGGGACCAGCTTTGGGCGAATTCGTGCGGAACAGGGCTGTTCCATTCCATTCCATTCCATTTCATCCAGCCATCCACCCATCCAGCCATCCAGCCATCCACCCATCGAGGTCAACAGGTGACTTCGCCCTGATTCGGAGGTGAAGGTGCGAGGCCATCGGATCGAGCTGGCAGAGATCGAGGCTGTCTTGCAGAGCGAGGCGCGGTGCGCCGGGAGATGCCGGGAGGCCCCCACTCGGGCCCAGGAGATGGTTCGGGAGAACTGTCCGAAGATCAAATCTAAGCAGTTTGAGGGGTCCTAGAGCAGACAGCAACCATTCCCTTTCCGTTGGTGAGTGTTTAAGTCGAAGGGATGATGGCCGACATGGAGAGATTGTTCGTGCATTATACCCTGCTGCAGGCTGCATGAGAATGTGTCATGTGTTTGCGTTGTCGTTCGCAAGCCGCTTCTTGGCTTCGAAGTGAACCAAATGAGAAGAACCGCTTGAAGGGCGCCTCCATTTGTGCTCTGGGTCAAAGATTTGTTCACCTAAGGCGTCGTTTTGTGCCATGGAAAGCACACCTGCTCATGTGTGTTAGACTCCAGGAATCAGCAAAATAGTGCCGCATGTTCCATGACAAATCTATGTATGTTTTGCGGCCGCGAAGGTGATGAGACAAGGGCGCACTCATTTGGGGTTACAAACACAACATTCTTTGTCGGGGACGTTTGAAAGTCGCTCACTTGTGCGGGAAATGAACCTAATAAACCCTAATGCTAAGACACATTTTTACCCTTGAAAATTTGTGATGTTTGATGGACAGTTTCAGATTTTGCCATGCTCCCAAATTCGCTGCCGCAGGCTGAGAAGCTCCTCGGCAAACCTTTGGAAGCCTTGGTAACCTTCGCTGCGCAGGGAGCCTAGCACCGAGGAGATGCACGCTAGCCATCACAAGAAAACACCTCCGAGCGGACAAACAGGCCTTGTGCGGGATTCCTCCTTTGATACATGCCTGTAGGTCAACACCTAGGTGAATTCACCACCCATTTTAGTCTTTTTTAGTGGGGATTGGGATGTTCACTGGGGGGTGCGGGGATTTGACCCATAGCCGCATAGCCTGCCTTCCTTTCCAGCCCAGGCAGAGGCTCGTAGCATACGTGCGACCGTGCGGATCTCGGATTCCCGGAGCATGCATCGGAGACACTGCCAGGATTCGCGTGCGAGTCAGGTGTGGGCACCGGTTAGGCGGTTTAATGTTTGCAAGTCTTTTGCCAAAGGCCAAAACACCAAGGGGACCTGAAGTTCTGTGATCCTCGGCGGCTCGCTGCAGAAGCGTGAGGAACGTGTGAGACCGCCATAGAATAAGTCAGGTTTGGCCAGTGCAGTCAGTTCGGTGCCCAGCCCCGAGGCCTCTCTCAACGGGTGACGCTCACGAGCTGCACAATGCTTGTGGCAAGCGGCTTTTGGCTCATGCTATGCCATGAGCTGAGGGGCTGAAGCTTTGTTTCATTTTTGCTGCTGGCAAATGGGCGGTTTACGGGGCCTTTCCTGCAATTGGGGAGTTGCTGGCATCACCTTTCTGGAAACCAGCGTCCCCCCCCCCCCTCCCACCCCCCTGCACCCCCGCACCTCATCCCTCCCCGCCCAAATTTCAGGGAGCTCTGTCCTTCGAGGCCGCAGGAGGTCATCGGGGTGGTGAGCTGGCCCAGGACCGTCACCGGCAAGCTCGACCGCCAGGCGCGGTCCAACCTTTGCTTCAAGCGCCGAGCTTCGGTTCGGAGGCCTTGCCACAACCGCAGCCGGAGGCGCCGGCAAAGGACAGCCGGCCTGCGGCTCCACAGGTGGGACGACCAGATTAAGATGGACTACGACTCAACAGCTTGGGAAACAGATTTAGAGACCCGACCAGGCCGCCTCAAGATATTTAGCGCGAGCGCCGCCTGCGCCGCCGCACCAGCTCCAGCAGAAAGGCCGCAGCCCTAGTGCCTTGCAAACGCAGAGGGGTAACAAGTCAAGAAGGCTGACATTTCTGCGAACTTGTCAGAGG